TGCACTAAACCGGCCGATTTCCGCACGTTTGAGTTAACTCGAGCGGCTTATTATTTTATATTTCTATGATTTTTTACACTTAAATATAATAGAAGATGGACAATAAGAATGTGAAGGCAAAGAAAAAGAATCGTTTTTTTTTTTCTGAAATATTAATTCGAAAAGAAAGATTAAAAAGTCGACGTACGTGTAACATTGCAATATTCAGCTCTTCTCTGTAATGTGGAACAAAATCCAAAATTAACATAAAAATATTGATTATTTCTGTATTTTTCTCATTCTTTTGTCAAAACAATGTTCTAAACCATTTCTTTATATAAAAAAAAAATGATTTTTTATGGCCGTATTTTTTTCAAAATCATTGCTGCTTAAGGGGTTAAAGTGTTATCAACACTTATCAAAATTATTTAGCGTAATCTTCTTTTTCTTAAAAAAAAAAAAAATAAACGTATTACTAGGTATTAACCCGTTGATTGCCAACTACGAGATATCTCTGACAGTCAATGGGTTAAATTGTAACAGTTTGAATGAACAATTTTGTAAATGCTATTTAAATGAAGTTGTTGTTGTCGATCGCACGCAGATGTCAGAATATGAAATCTGTCATTTTCTTTTTGTCTGTTTCCATCTCTCTCTCTCTCTCTCTCTTTCTCTTTCTCTCTGTCCCTTCCACCCCCTCAAATTCTCTCTCACTCTCTCTCTCTCTCTCTCTATATATATATATATCTAGCATTTGACATTTCTTTCGTTGCACGTGACGAGATGCACTGTCGTACATAAATATTTCTTCAATAAGAAAGAACAAAAAATAGTGGAATCTTGAAAGTTTATCAAGAAGGTTTGTCTACGTTGATCATCAATAAAGGAAAAAGAAGAAGAAGAAGAGGAATAAGAAGAAGAACAACAACAACAGCAACAACAACAACATGAAAAAGAAGAAGGCGAACGAATATGATCACAAATTTACATTTTTTTTTTTAATTTTTACTATTTTATTTGACTAAGTTTTCTTTCATTCGTTTAATTAAAACCATGCTTTTCATTCATAATTAATAACTTAGGAATTATATTTGAAAAATTCCTAACAAAAATTCTCCACTTCTTACGAAGTAATAGAAACAGTAAAACAATTAGGATAGTTTGTTTAATGAAATTCGGGATTGATTATATAAAAAATGAAAAAAAAAAAAAAAACAACAACAACAACAATCGAAAGACGATATTTTGTTTGTTAGCTGTTAGAAAATGGATTTTAACCGATGATCCGTTTGCCCAGCAGGGAATACCCCGAGAAATCTACCTGACGTCTGATTGCGATACGGTAACCGCTGAGTTCGAGATCGCAAGAATGTTATGTTTAGCCCTTATTATATTATTATTATTTCATTTTGGTGTGTCTTTAGCTCGGTGTTGCATCATACGTATGGTATATATATACACACACACGTACTTACATGCATATATATTTATATATATATATATATATATATTCCGATAATTATGATGATAATATAACAAAAATAAAATAATTCGTAAAATACAATTTTATCCAACTTTTAGTTTAGTTTCAACTTACTGTCATAATTATCGATATATTTATATTTTTATATATACATATATATAAATAAATATATATATATGTATATAAATATGTATATATACATACATTTGATAATGTGCTCCCATAGCCGCCTGCAGCTCTCTGCACGATCGTGTACGCGCGATGCTGTCAACGCGTAGGTGAGCTCGAATACGTCATTCTTTTAATTGCTCTCTCTCACAAATCCCTTTTTTTCGTTATTCCTCTTCGATACTGTGAATGTATGTATTTATATGAATCATTATAAAAAAAAAAAAAAACCAACAAATTTATATATTCTTTGAAACAATGGAAAAACTGTTCGATCATTCGTGATCGTCAACAATCATAAAAGCAAATGAAAACAATTTTAATAAGCACAATTCCAACCCTTATTCGTACAATTCCATCCCCTCCCTGCCTACCTACCCTTTCAATCGTCACAATCATGTACGTATAGTATAGTGTTATGTATATTTAATCATCACATTTTCTATTGGTCCCACTTTATTTCGTTCATTCATTCATTCATTCATTCGTTCGTTCGTTCGTTCGTTCGTTCGTTCGTCCGATCTGTCCATTGCGAGGATTGGTTTGCTCGAATTCGATAAAAACAAAATGAGAACAAGAGAAAGAGAGAGAGAGAGAGAGACAGATAGAAAGAAAGAGAGAGAGAGAGAGAGAGAAAGACGACGAAAGTGAAAAATCAAAAAACACCACTCCCTTTCTCACATCTTTCCAATTCTAACAACTAATTATAAACAAAATCATTAAAATTAATCGCCAAAAAAAAGCGGACAGACAGACGGACGGATGGACGAGTCATTTTCTCGCTAATCGCCGTAGTATCCTGCCCAATAAAAAAAAAAAAGAAACCAAAATGAAAAGTAAAATTATAATAAACAAAATAAAAAGCAATTCTCACCTGGTAAGCTAACTGTTTAATTGTCTGTCTATCTGTTTGTCTGTTTGTCTATCTGTCTATCTATCTGTCTGTCTGTCTGTCTGTCTATCTATCTGTCTATCTGTTTAACTGTCTGTCTGTCTGTCTGTATGTCCATCTGTTTAGCCCGGCCTTAAACCAAAAGCCCAAAGCCCTACACACGCCGTAACCCCTCCGATACCCACCTGTTTCGCTATTACTATTACTTCGAAAAAAAAGGTATAGCCTCGAGTGGAGTACGTTCAAGGTCGAGAAAATTTCTAGTTGAAAAAAAAGAAAAAAGAAGAAAGGATCGAGCTAGCGTGCCACTCTCTGTCTGTGATAGGGGGAGGGCGAGGAGATGGGTGATTTCGGGATGAAAAGGGTGGTATAAACGGTGGTATATAAAGGGTGGGTGGTGGTGGGGCCTCGAGTTAGGGAAGGAGAATGGCCCTCGATCGATAACCGTTCGAGGCTGTACTCCCTGGTATTAACCGTTGCACACCATAATTATCTCTATCTCACTCACTGTCACACGGCCAATGCTCTGGGTATGTCGTATGCTGGATGGATTAACCGATCTAATTGATTGATTTCACCACCGATTAATTTCCGAACCTTGATTGAACGTTTGTACTATCTATTCTATATATCTATTCTATCTATCTATTTATCTATCTATATCTTTATCATCTATCTATCTGTTTGTCTATTTATCTATCTATCTATCTATCTATCTATCTATCTATCTATCTATCTATCTATCTATCTATCTATCCACCTATCTATCTATCTCCGTACGATAATACCACTTTTATTATTGTTGCGATGTTGGTGTTGTTATTTATACTATATATATATGTATATGTATGTATATATGTATATGTATATGTATATATACCATATAATTATTCTAATCATTGTATTGATGTTGTTATCTTGATGTTTTTGATGTGTTGTTTAATCGTTGTTTACTGTTGCTGTTTGATGTTTGTTTGTTGCACCATACATCCATATACATATATGTATATATTATATATTATATATATATATATAATTTTTTTTTATATTTATATATACATACATAAAAAAAAAAGTCAAGAAAAAAATATTCGTACGTATAGATACGCACGTATATGTATGTCTCTGTGCGTTCATGTCTTTTTCTTTCTTTTCATTTTCTATATATATATATTATATATATTAGAAACGTACGTGTATGCGGTAGATGTGGAATTGCGAATGGGGGAGGATTGGGTGAGTGAGGGAGCGGGTGGCCGCATTCCATCGGCTGCTTTCGGAGACTCTTGATCCTCAAGTTCCAAAGCACTGAGGATCACAGGATACAAGGGGAGGGAAGGGGTGGAAAGTGCCGACAGACAAGAGCTAAGCGGGGTGCCCAAAGGTTTTCGGGGAGTGGGTTATTCCCAAAGGGGTGAATCCCAAGGGTGAACCGGATACACGTACGTTTCAGCCAGTCAGCCAGTCAGCATCACGCTTGGAGCGCCTTCTCTTATATGCGTGTGCGTCTATGTATAAATATTATATAGATGTATATATGTCCCATGTATATCTATATGTATATATATATATATATATATTTACTTAAATGCACACGCATGCACACCGCGTATGTATATATGTGTATGTGGCTATGTACGTATGTATATATGTATATGTATATGTATATAACTCGACAATTCGATGGCGATACGTGATCGTCGTAATCGCACCACTAAAACCACCCCCTAACAATCTCATACGAGGAGCAACCTAACAATAACAATAATAATAATAATTATAACAATTAATTGTAATAATTAATAATAATTTTTGTTATTACAATAGGAAATGTATTTTTTTTTTGTCAATGTGAGTATTTTATTATAAATATTTGGTTTCCATCTTTTCATATATTATCGTATACGTATAACGGGTTTCGATCTAACATAGGTAGGATCGTTTCGGTTATCGATTCGAGGTCGGCGAAGGGTTAAAAGGAAAATATAGGAAGAGAAAGTAGGAGGAGTGTGCGCGAGTGTTGTTCGCTCGTAACATCTTGCAGTTTGCTCGCCTATAAATAAAGTGCGCGCGTCCTCGAACGTTTCCGAGCGATGAACGATTTTATCTTCGGCCCACGGGCTCGGTCCACCAAACATACACAACTAGAGTATTACTATTATTACTACTACCAACAACTATCGCCGATACTATAATTTATTAGCTCGATTTTCTTATCCAAGTATTTACCACAATCGCCATTAAGAAAAATAAAAAATAAATAAAAACAGTAGACAAATTTTTCTTTGACGTTTAGAAAAGAAATTTAAAACAGGGACGAATAAAGTGAAGAACGAAATAAAAAAAATTGATTTAAAAAAAACGTTTATCCTCGGAGAGGTTTTTAATCGAACTATTGTCGAAAAAAACAGGGGGTGGTTAAAACGGTGGCTTAAGAATTACGTATTCGTTCTGATTTGATTTGGCTGTGTGTTTCAGGATTGCACTCGCCCCACGAAGGAATGGCCGGTGGTTCCGGTCAGAGTATGTCCGGTCTCGCTTACTATCAACCTGAACATCCTGCTTCTACGGGAGTGGTGAAGTATCCGGAGAACGGTCACGATACGCTTTCCGATTTCGTGACGTTTGTCTGTCAAGAAGCTGAAAATACCCAGCAACTACCCCAGGTAGCTTCTGGATCCGTCGAGACCGCCACAGTGTCGTCGCTTCTATCGTAATCTCGTTAGCTCCACTCTTTTCTTTCACTCTCTTTCTCTCTCTCTCTCTCTCTCTCTCTTTCTCTCACTCTTTTTTCTATTTTTCTTACCGTCACTTTTTCTCTAATTTCACATGGTTTTTTCTTTTTTTCGTATTTTTTTTATTTAGCAGAAACACACCTGTTTACCTTCTTTACTTTCTTCCTCTTCTTTTTTCTCTATTTATTTATTTTTTTTTTTGTTTTCAATTGCACTATTAGCAGAGAGTTTGGAGAACGTATGCAAATGGCCACCACACTGTGGCGGTTACGCACGACCTGCATCATTTTCCGTGCTCCAGTCGCCCTGGATTCACGATATTTTTCTATAATATAACGTTGAACAATAGATATTATTATCTATTTGTCATCTATCTTTATGTCTATATTTATCACTTACTATCTTATCCGTCTCTCTTTCTCTCTCTTTCTCTCTCTTTCTCTCTTTCACTTTCTTTCTCACACTCTCTCTCTCTCTTTCTCACTCTATTTTTATTTATCTTTCTTTTTTCGTTTCATAGTTATGGATGTACAATAGTTGTCCCTTATTTCTTTTATTTTTTTTTTTAAATCGCACCTTTCTAAAATTATTCGAATTGAAAAAATTAATTTTTACTGGAATCAGATCTTTTAAATGGAAAATTCTTTGAGAATACTTGCGCGGAGTCTCTAAAATGTTTTTCTACGGTTTTGTTTTTTATTTCAATCTAATTATTCTCTTTTTGCAACGAACAAAGTTAGATTATCAATATTCCAAGATTCTTTTAATGTAATATATGTAGTATTGTTAAATCGTTATTTTTAATCTTCCACAAAATATCAAAACCGCGATAAACTAATTCCAAGTTTCATAAAATCCATCATGAAAGATCTCAACTTTGCTCGTTCCGCGTGGTGAAGAAAAAAAAAAGAAAGGAAAAACAGAATTAGAATTAGTTTGGAGAGTTAAACCTTGATAAAGAGAAAGAATATTCGCGTAAGTTGGATCGATCGGGGTGAGTGGATCACGCGCGGGTCGAGTGTGTTGATCGGAGGGTGTGTGCGATTTCCAGGCGCAGCTAGCGGGACCGCGTACTGGCATACAAAAGTTCTCACAGTATTATCCAAGTTCGATGTTACCTCCACCACCACCGGCTCCAATGGCGAGACCGGTAGCGATCATCAGGTCGACGGGTGAGTTGACTGGTACGAGCGCTAATTCGCCCCCAACTTCTTCGACATCTCCAACGGATCCGGCCGAACTTGGGCCCAATCAACAGGAACAAATGGCAGCCGCCGCGGCTGTTGGATTGGTCAGTTCAGCATGTCAGAATTCCGTCGATCCAGCTGGTAGAAAAAGTCCTGCGAGAATCCTTGTCACAGCACCTCACACCAGCAGGGAATACACCTTTGCTCACTTTCATTCTCAACCTGGACAAGTAAGATTATTAACACATTTTAACAAGAATCTCAATTCTTTTTGAGTTTTTTTATTGGACAAAAGGTAAAGCATCGATTTCTATTGTCTTACAGCAAATCTTTACCTACCCAACTATCAGTTCGATGTCAGGGGTAATATCTCCGACGAATCTGTCGTTGTTCTCGTCTCCCGTTTCGGTGACGAGACCGGTAGCCACCCAAAGGTCGGTCTCGAATGTACCACCACGTTGGAATACAACACCGTTTATCAACCTTGAGGATGATTATAATATGATAGCACCTATTATCGCGGGAACGACCAGTGAACCACCGTCTTCGATGGACGAAGGTAAATAAATCAATTTCTTTATTTTTATCCTATGAAAATTTTCCGATATCTTTTTTGACAAAAGATATAAAAATAATTTCAGATCGTTATTTCCATCCGGTTCATACGAGCAGCGTGGTGGACAAAACTGGTACGGGTAATTTAATGGGAACCGACCTAGGCGTGGCTACCGATCCCACGTCGCATCATCACCAACAACAACAACAGCAACAACAACAACAACAGCAACAACAACAGCAGCAACAGCAGCAGCAACAACAGCAGCAGCAACAACAACAGCAACAACAACAACAACAACAAGTGATGCAAGACAAAAGCGGTAGACCCAAGTCTCCCCCGTGACACTGGGGTCTTCGACCGGAAAGTCTTGCGACTTCAGCAGCGCCATGTTGTTCCACGGGGTCGTTACTCACTCCCATCCACGATAACAGTAACCAATTATATCACCCCGATATTGAGGGTGAACATCCGGATTCCTCATGTCGCGTCCAACGTCGCGATCTGAGTTTTCGGAGAATCGAGTGCCTGAGAGTCTGAACGTACTATATATATATATATTATTTGAAATAAGCGTAAAGACCGTCGATAGATATTTACTTTTCTCATAAACGTCTAAACATGCGTTCGACATTTTGACTCCTCGAACGGACGCTAGTAAAAAATAACCTCCTTCTCTCTTCTCCTCCTCTTTTACGCCTACAAGTTTATACAAAAAATACAAACAAACGAACAACGTCTCTTTCTCCTCAACTTTTATAATATTCTAATTATGTTTCTCATTTGTGTCTAATCTAAATTAAAAAGAAAGAAAAAAACAAATTGAAACAAGTTGATTTTATGATATTTTACACGTTTATCATTTTGGATAAATCAACTTTTTTCCATTTCTTTTACCCATAAATTATTGGATTGATTGAACACTTTCGTTTATAAAAAATTTCTCTTTGATATCCCCGATCGACCCCCATACCTCATACTAAGAAAGGATTCTAAAGGTGATTCACTTTCAACGTGCCAATTAGGAGACGAGGGAGAGAAAAAAAGAAAGGTTTAAAGGGTTGATCGGTGATAAATTTAAATTCTACTCGTTCACTTTTTTTTTCTTTTCTCTCTTATTATTGTTATCAATTTTTTCAACGGTCTGTCAAAAACGTCGACGATTATAACGAGGATTGATCTAAAAAAGAAACTATGTTATAATGCTCAGACCTAGTGCTAACAATAAATATAACTGCTAGTGGGGAAACAAAAAAAAACAAAATAAAATAAAATAAAGGAAGAAGGACTAGCGCGTGCTAGTAAACAGAGGCTGCTAGTTAGAAATAAACAAAGTGAATATTTCGTATTTCATTACTCGAATTCGATGAAACAGTTAACTGATTATAATGCGTTGTACTTATATTTATACATACATATACATATATATAAAATATATATTAACGGGAACAGCGTTGTGATGCAAGTGGAACGAAATTATGTTTGGTAATAAACAATAATTATTATTAATCAAACGATCCAATAGTTGCATTCAATATTCGATCGAATGAATTACAACGAGATTATAAAAACGTTGATCGTTCCATAAGCAAAACTACGATGAATCTACGGACGTATGGACGATAACAAAGAAAAAAAAAATAAATGATAGATACGTTAGAAAAAAAAAAGATAAAAAAAAAGCACATATACACATAAGTAAAGAAAAAAGAGGAGAGAAAAAGAGAGAGAAAGAGAGAGGAGACGAACCAATGTCGAATCTGTGACTAAAGTGTTACCTAAAATTATCCCTTCACTCCTCGAACAACCCTCCATCCTCTCCCTCTTATCCTATCCCCTTTATCAACCCAAAATCCTTGATCTTATTGTAAAATTAAAAATGCGCTTAATATACTCGCTAGTTGACAAGATTAATAGTTAATGATTTCTAGGTTTATAAAGGGTTACACTTTGTTTCCTCTCCTCGAGTAAGATTGAAAGAGTGTAAGCGGCCTCTTTTATTTCAAATCTTGAGCTTTAAAAAATAGGGGCTGGGAAAGGGGTTGGTTGTAAAAGGTTGTTACGCACAAAAATTATAAAAAGAGGAAGAAAAGCTAAATGGCAATTAGAAATAATAAATAAATAATGCATTAGAGATCGTGTATTTATTAAGTATTATACGATTAGGTTTGAATAAAAGAGGATGCGCGCGTGTTTCTTTATTTTTTTGTCAGTGAAAATTTCGTTACACTCAATCAATCGATTCGTAGTGATAGTACAAAAGAAAAAGAACACAAAAGAGTTTGACAGCAGCAACGAGTACTTACGTAAAATACATACTTATGTCAATAATAAAAATGCTAGGCACACAGTGCGCCAACGATAATACATTATTATCCCTCCGAGGAATGAATTTAATGGATGCTTTTACTGATGCTAATTCATAATACGAAGCAACCTTATTATTGCTACCACTATTGTTAATACCAATATTACGAGCTATTATTATTATTAATTAATATTATCGTACCACCACCACCACCATCACCACCATCACCATCACCATCACCATCACCATCACCATCACCATCACCATCAACATCAACATCGCCAACTACACCAAACCAACGTCAACACCATCACCACTGCTGCTGCTATAACTACTACTATTATTACTATACTAATACTACTACTACTACTAATACTATACTACTACCAATACTACTACTAATAATACTAATAATACTATTACTACTACTACTACGACTACAACTACTACTACTATTACAGCTACCAGTACTATTAACAATAATTACAACTAATACTACTACTACTACTACTACTACGGCTGATACTACTACCGCTACTACTACTATTATTACTACTACTACTACTACTAATATTAATATTATTACTACTACTACTACTACTACTACTGCTACTACTACTACTACTACTACTACTACTACTACTAATATTAATACACTAAGTAAACTAATAACTACTATCGCGCTAATACGATACGAACTATACTTTATAAAGGAAATAATTGAAGGAGATAATACAATGTAAATATATTCGAGTCGCTAAGTATAGATTAGAAAGTTGTTACGCACATTTATTAACAAGGAGGAATTCATTGATGATCTAAGCAATTAACGAGACGACGCCCGCTATTAAATTAGCTCTCTTTCATTTTTAATATTTAATAAGTTAAAGATTAAAATAGATAAACAGCAGCAAAATCAAAAATCTCCTATGAGAAGACAAAAAAAAAGGCAGGAGATTTATTTTGAAACGATTGAAAGACAGATTAAGAGAGACAAGAGAAATAATTAGAAATTTTAGATCGATTAGTATCATTGATTCGATAGTCACGCATTGATCGTTTTTGAAAAAAAAAAGAAGAAAAAAAGGTACAAGTTTTTAAACCTTTACGATGCCAATAACAAGAAATCTAATTCACAAATACTTTCCTTAATATTTTAGATGTATATATAATATGTGTGTGTGTGTATGCAAATGGAGGAAAAAACGAAGATAGCAAGGTACGAAGTATTTAATATTAATTATTATTATTATTATTATTATTATTATTATTATTATTTTTTTAAAATTATTAATAAAAAATGGGAAAAATTAAGAGTAGTGGTTTGGGATAAACAATTGTGCATATTGTCGATATTCCTTTTGATATCGCACGATTAAAATTTATTTAAAATGGCGGATTACATACATATATATATATATATATATATATATGTACATTAATAAAAACACACACATGCATACGTATATGTATATAAATATTGGGGAAAAGATATGAGGAATTATATTATTCTATTTAAAATAATAGTGATTATAAGAAAGAAAAAAAGAGAGAAAGAGGAAAGATCAATTAAAAAGAAAAAAGAAAAAAAAGAAAGGAAAAAAAAAGAAAAAATAAATTAAGAACAAACAAAAGAATGAACGTAGAATCGTAGTGTGCCAATTTAGATTTTAGTGAGATTTATGATTGTTAATAATAATTATTATTATTATTTTATTATTATTTTTATAATAATTACCAACTATAGCGTTTAACTTGCGTAAATTGTTTTTTTTTCTTTTTTGTTCTTCTTCATTAACTTGATTTTGTTCTACATTATCAATTATTATTCTTTACTTCGATTTAATAGAAAAAGAAAAATCTATAGAATAATTTTTCCTTATAATTTATCGAAATTTATAAACAAAGTGAGATAAACAAAAAGAGAGAGAAATAGAAAAACAATGATCGTATAAATGGTTGCATAAGAGTATGTTTGACTTTTTTTTTTGAGTGTATGCATGCGTGTGTAAAAAAGTGAGAATAATAAAAAAAAAAGATTAAAAAAAAAAAACAAATTAACACGTAATACAAAAAGATCGGCGTAATGGTAGACACACACAACACACGCGCACACACACACACATATATACAAGAGTATATAACACCGATTATATATTATTGATAATATCGTTTGCGACGACCTACCACCTTTCTCTCTAATAAACTACCCCCACAACCAACACCTTGTCCAAAATCCAACCCTTAAATACGTAAAAAATGTATGAGTGTAAAATTAAGAAGCCCTAAAGTTTTAAGAACCGTTAGATTCTTCGTCGTATGATTTTGATCTTCAATGTTTAATGAATTATTTCAAATTTTGTTTTTATTCATTATTTTTTAATTCTTCTTCTTCTTCTACTTCTACTTCTTCTTCTTCTTCTTCTTCTTCTTCTTCTTCTTCTCCCAATATTTCCTTGTTCCGTGAAAAATTCACGTTGAGTCTTTAGAAAATAAAAGAAAAAAAACACACACACACACATTAACGTTAGCTCGCATAATTGATTATTATAATTAATTAACATCATCGGAGGTGGTAGATAAAAAAAAAAAATTGAGAGAAGTTCTCGCGTTGAATAAAAAAAATAAAAAGAAAGAAATAAAAATAATAATAATAATAATAATAATAATAATAATAATAATAATAATAATAATAATAATAATAATGAACAACAAAAAAAAAGAAAGAAAAAGACACCAAAATTTATAAAGTTTGAATACAAATGAAAAAAAGAAAAGAAGAAAATGACAAACCCCTCCCCCATTTAAAAAAAAAAAAAAAACGAAAGAAATAAAAAAAAAATAAAAAAAGAAAACAAAGAGAGAGAGAGAGAGAGAGAAAGAGAGAAAAAGAAGGAAATTTAAATTTATAAATTTGTAAATTTAAATTAAAAAGAAAGAATTTCAATTGAAAGAATTTTTTTATATATTAAAATATGTGTAGTAGATGAGCACGGTGCTTTTACGTCCGGCTAAGTACAGAGATACATTTTTGTATAGCGTCTCTCGAGCTGCCTTGTAACCGAAAGTGCATTAAAACAATCGTTCTCACGACGACTACCCTCGAGGGGGTTTAGTACAAGGGATTAAAGAGATATACAAAGTGAAAGGGTTGATAACAAGCAACAATAAAAGAATAATTTCTTTTGTTGTCAACAGTCCTTGGGTTTAATCATTTTAATAGCATATTTTGCCATCTTTTTATTTTAAAAAACCCTCTTCCTTTTTATCTTTCCGATACATTTTTTTTATTAAGAAAATTATTCAATTGTTGATATCATTCAATTAGAATATTTAAAATTTAGAACAATTTTGGTAGTATCCAAATTTTAAGTAAAATTTATCAACAAACAAAAAATAATATTATTTAAAAAAAAAAAGATATTTTGTGGAAATGAAAAAACAAAGAAGAAAAATAACCCTCTCGTGGTGTCTCATGAGTACGAGGACTTTTTCTACGTAAGGATAGGACTTTTTCTCTTATTGTTAGTACGGTGAAGATAAAAAAAAAATTGAAAAAAAAGAGAGAGAGAGAGAAAGAGAGATTTATTAATAGAATGACTGTGTGGAAAAGAGAGAAAGAAAAGAAAATGAAGGAGAGGAGGTGCGTGATCGTACGTTTAAACAAACGAAAACATGTTTTTCAAAAACGTCGAACTTTTCGTTTCTTCCTCAGAGGTGTAAAACGATTAGAGTGATTAGGTACGAAGTACGATTCGTAGATAAATAAAGAACATAAAATAAAAAAAATAAAAAATACATAAATCGATTAAAACACGTTTCGCGTTGGATTAAATTTCTATGAATGTAATTACGTTTTGAAGTCGCATGAATTTGTAAACGAGTCACGGATTAATAGCCAAAATTTCAAATTAATCCAAATGAAAAGTTCAAGGACACATGTGACTGATGCAATACGAAACCTGTTAAAAAATAATCGATTAAGGTGTGTTTTAATAAGTATCACGATAACTGGCTAGGGTTTGCTCCAATTTTTTAAACTAATGGAGCCTTAGGGTTGAATGTTTATGAATGCGTGCATGTATGCGTGCGTGTATGCTTGTGTGTATTTTTTTGTTATGAAAGAAAATGAAAGAATGAGAAATTAGCAAGAAAGACAGAAAAATGACTAAAAAACTTGTACATTTTTGACATCCTCGTGGTCGTCCTCGTCATCCTTGTTGATTTTTATTTTCATGTTTTTGATTTTCTTGTAAATAGTACTCTTAAATACCAGACTATAATTAAATGGTGAAGAAAGGGGAAGAAGGTGAGAGGAAAACTTAGTTTATATTTTTGTCCAATTTCTATGATAAACGATGACAACGAGGACGAGGACGAGGATGTGACACGTGTAATAAATTTAAGAAAAATAAAAACGAGCTAGTATATTTAATAATAATAATACTATAGCGAGGGACTGATATATATATTATATATATAATATATATATATATATATTATATATATATTTACAACGTAAACAAACAAAAAACTTAGAAACGGCGTACATTAGAATTCGCGAACATTAGGTTAATAATTAAAATAAAACGAAGCTGTTAACAAAAAAAATGCGAAAGAGAGAAAGAGAGAGAGAGAAAGAAAGAGAGTAAATTAAAAAAAAAAAAAAAATGAAAGAAAGAAAAAACGAAAATGCTACAAGCGAATGACTACATAATTAGAAATAATAACCATAGACACAGTTCTTTTTTTTTGACAGTGATATTTTATTCTATTAACGATTAACGATATTATACTATGAAAAGTTGTAATAATTTATTGTAAATTTAATGATTCGATTTGATATTACATGTAAAAATTTATTCAATTTTGTTAGATGAATTAAATATGTTTTAATCGAATCATTATTTGATTAACGTTGGCCCAAAAAATTCATAAATCTAATCGTTAATTACAATTAACTCTGAATGAAATTAATTTTTTATTTGATTTTTTGATTCCAATTTAATTGGAATTGTTTATAAGATCGTTTATCGTTAATTAAA